ATATACCTGAACCAATAGTTTATAACTGGGAATAAGCCACAATTAAAGATAAAAATACGTTTATTGACGTTTCAATTTCCAATTCGGAAATCGTTCTCACAAATCTGAACCAATAGTGTCATGAAATCTTTAAACTCTGGACTTGCTATAAATACCTTGAAGATAGTTTCTAGCACAGAACTTTGTTTAAAACCAAATGGCAACCTAGAACCAGAAAAATAATATTCTCCGCAAACTTGTCAGCTCAAAATAGGAAGCACATTCTTTTACCCTTAAAACGTAGACTTAAACTCTATGCTTAGGCTGCCGAATATACCTTGCTAGTATGGGTGACAAAAACACATACTTAACACGTAAGTATATTTAGCTATAAATTAGTCAGTCATCAGATCATCACATCTGCAAGATATTTGATAACTTTCTTAGTTGACTTTTCCATTCAAATCGTTTTTTTCTGAAGGGACAAGGTTTATTTATTTGAACTAAACATGTAAAGTATAGCCATTAAGCTTTTACTTATAAAGATCATTGCAAATTTGAAACTAACTCCACTTATATTGATAACACATTACCCCTAAATAGAAAATAAAACATTCAGAAGTATGTAATATTGGAGAAGTGGTATAATGCTTGTTAGATAAATTCTTTCTTTTTTTGTGCATTACTACCCATTTTTACACAAAAATATCTATTTTAGCACTTAAATATTTATTTTGAGATAACCTTTTATCCAAACTTATATGTAGTACATAGATAAAACCAGAAATAAAATAATAAAAAAGCTGTATACAAGATATCATAAAACAATGGATGAAATAAAAGAAGTTCTTATTAATCGGATTCTTAAATAAAACTTATGAAGACATATTCACGTTAACAAAATACATTAGGAAATTTCCGCATATGAAACAAAATCCAATTTGGTAATGAAATCCTTTTGTAACTATAAAGCTATTTTTAGAAAACTCGTACCTACCAAAAACAGGTAGTTAATAGTATACATATCTGTTACACACTGTAATGCGTATGAATGATAACAAAACTAAGGAGTCCATATAAACCGTCCAGACTTTACGCGAGAATTATACATCTTATAGCAGAGTTGCCAAACTATCAGAGCTTACTTATACCGATATACATATGGTTCCAATATACAGTGAAAAAGATCTGAACGACCCCTATAATATATACACGTGAACTAAGCGATATACATTTATGATACAGGGATAATTATGGGCTCCAAAATTTTTTTAAAAATTATGAAACTATACATGTTGACGAATCGACAGAGCCAATATTATGGAATGGTCAAGTGAGCTCCGTATATCGGTGTCCACTTGACCACGGAGCTCACCTGAACCTGAATTTTAACATGGGCGGAGTCCACTTTATGCCGTAAATATATATATATATAAATATATATATATATATATATATATATATACATATATATATATATATATATATATATATATATATATATATATTTATATATATATATATATATATATATATATATATATATATATATATATATATATATATACCTTGTTTGAAACAGGATAATGTAAGTATGAAATAGACATGTACTGTGTAAAATATATTGTTTGGCATCCATCATCGCGTATGAGATGTTGACTGATGTCGCGTATGACTTTATTGACTTTTTTGTTTTTATACTGTTTAATAGATTTATATACATATTTGTTAGTCACAAATTAAAATACTACAGAAATAAATAAATTAATGACTTTGATAATTTGGATTGAAACTAAAGCAAACTTAGATAAAACCATCCTATACTTATATTACCTAAAAATAAATAAGAAATACACATTCTGTGGAATATTGGAAAACTATTTTAACGAATTGGGTGCTTTTATTTTTGATATCTTTCTTTTTATTTTTAAAATTTTAATACGTAATAATGCAGTTGCTGCCTACTTCTCTGCCGGAGAAACTAATTAGGAGAAGTGAAGTATTTGACATAGTCTGTACAATAATAAGCGTTGCTAATATGTATGAAATCCAATTAAAGGTATGTGACAGTTTTATTAGAGCAAAGGTATATTAGAAGAAAATTACGTGATGAAACCAAAGATTCTCTTCCCTTTCCCCCTCCTCTCCATGACCCACTCTTAGGTCCCCTTACTTTTACAAAAATGTGTTGCAATTTCTTTAACTTTATGTATCCAACGATACCGAAACTTTCTTTACTCTCTATAATGTATATATTTTACTTCAACGATAAATTTCGGTAAATATCGAAATTCCCCTATTATTCATTACACATTTCAAATCCATATACTTTATATATTTATGAGACAATAAAGATTGCCTTATATCTGATTTATTATTTTTTTAGTTAGAAATTTTTGGTTTTTCAAAAAATTACATTGATTTTAAAATTTATTCGTCTGAATGGTGTCTCATTTTTCAAAAAAATTACTTCCTTAGGGATTATCTTTTTGTAATAATCTCTACAAATCATCTTTACTTTTCAAATGGTCAAATTTGTGGTGTTTTAGTTATTGTGGTTATTGTGTTCAGAATAAGAACTATGATAGTTATATTTGTATTTTGCGAATAATGTTATTTGAGGTAATACTTTAAAGAAGGTTTTACTTTTCTCCTGGAATCTTTGCGTTTTATTTATTTAGTACCTATATTGAGATTTGGAATATATATCTTCGCAACCTTTCTCATTATTTTTCAATTTGGATTTTACCAATCTTTAAAAGAGAACACTTCCACCTTCTCACAACATCTTGCACAACATAAACATACCCTCAACATCCCTGAAGACGTCTCTTTGTTACATAATATCCCTCAAAAATTTTTTCTAAAATTAGATCTATATGAAGACTTGGAAATAGAAAAGAAAAGCAAAGTAGCCCCAATTGCGTTAATTGTCATGTATCGTTCAACCGGGACTTTCAACTCTTACATCGACAACTCTTCTCATAGTCCACGCTTCACAATATTGATTTACTTTCTTTGCCCGACTATCCTATACAAACTTCAACACCTTTAATCCTATACAATATTTGTGTTTCTTTAAACAACCTTTCTCTACACTATTGCCACACCTTCACCTCAAAAATTTTCGATCCCATTGTTAATTTCAGAACCATCCATATCTATCATAACAACATATTTCAACGTTTTCTCCACTCTTCACATCTACATCACATTCCTATCCATTATTTTCTCTTTTATTATTTCTTGGTCAACTCATTTATCAAACATGTAGTCAATAGTTTTAACTCATTATTCTCTCAAACATTATCTAACATTTTATTAAAATTCATATTATTTGTGCTTCTTCAAACAGCCAGTCTCTAAACTTTTGCCACTCCTTCCCCTCATTACTTTTCTATCCTAGTGTTAACTTTATAATCACCCACATCTATCATACCATAATATTTTATCATTTTCTTCACCCTTCACATCTACATCACATTCCTGTCCTTTCTTTTCTTTCATTATTTCTTGGTCAACTCATATATCTAACATGCACTCAATAGTTTTAAAGTCAGTAATCATTCAAACATCATCTAACTGTTTTTCAAAATTCATATATTTTTCCGCTATTAAATAATCCTTATCCAACATTGCTCACCTTCTCTTGGTCAACAACTAAGTAGCACACTTATACATCAAATTTTAGGTTTTTACAAACCGAATTTATTACTACTAAAATATATTTTGTTCAGGGTGCTAGATGCTGTAAGCAAAATTTTTACCCGTCCTAGATGTGATAAACATAAAAGGATAATTTTCATATATATAAGCTAATCTAACGTAAAATACACTTTTAGACCATATTCCATACGACAAAAAGCAACATAGGTTGCCCAATAAACAGGTCATCCTCTTAAACATGACTTTAACACCATTGGTGATTTCACATCGATTATAACTTAAATTTTAAATCCCAACACCTATATTGCTGTTATTATTTTTTAAAATCATCAAAAATAATTTATGAATCTTTTGGCTGTAGTAATACTAGGTATAATTAATATAGTTCTATGTTACATTGACATTTTGTTTTTGACACCTTTCATAGGTATATTGTAAATCAGTTTCCAGCTGTTCTCCGTGCGTAGAGGTTTTGTCCCCGGCTCTGGAACTCAATTTTTTGCAATGTATGTTACCTGAAGTCATATTTAATTTAATACTGAACATCACAGTTTTTTCACAAGATGTATAATCTTTTATAACTATATGTAATTTAAAGGGTTTTTACCCATGTATTTTTGGTGGCTCAGCCATTTTAACCTAGTAAGTATAGCCATTTTTGCTTTATAACCATAGTCAAATTTTCATAACCACGTTTGTTTTAACTAAATGGTTTATACTTATTTTAGGCGATTTTAAACCTGATGATGGACTGTTTAGTCCGAAAACGTTTGTTTTTTTATGTAGCCCTTTTAAGGGTTTTTAAATAAATATACCCACTTACGAAGATTAACCTCTTTTTTTGTGATACGTGGTATACAGCCAGCTATAGGAATTGTTTTCCTTGTAGATTTTAATTTTTTCAGTTTAAATAGTAATCCTAGATGTCAGACCTTGTCAAATGCTTCGCTAGCATTAAGGAAAATAACAATATAAAAGCTCTGTAAACCCTTTAAATTTTCCTGGAAGGCTGATTGTATCTTTTCTACTAGCCTATGCACTTGTACATATGTGTCGTGTTTTTGGGGAACACCAAACTAATGATTAGGCACAACATTTGTTGTTTATTTACAAGCAATATTAGTTATTAATTACTATTTTTAATACAACTTTTACTTTATTTTCTAAAAAATTATTGTTCAAAATACAGGCCTATCCAAACTTTACATGGCAAACTAAAAATGTCTTTTCCTTCAGTATTATTACAATGTTACTACCGACATGTACCTATGTAAATTTAAGTAGGAACTTTCTAGTTACAATAATAATATTTTTATTTGACCATTACTGTATCTAAATATAAAAAGTAAACTTACCTAGGAGGAGAAGGTATTCTACCTCGAGAATTCGATTGTCTGTAAAATAAAAACAAATTTAATTTTCACATAAAAATTAAAGTATCACAAATAAACATAAACACATACATACACACTTATTTTTCTTCTTCTTGTAGTGCCTATCCGTTTCGGATGATGGCGAGCATCATGGCAATCTGTACTCTGCAAAGTTCGGCTCTGAAAAGCTTTGTGGTTGTTGTGTTAAACCATGTACGCAGATTTTTCAGTCAACAAATTCTTCGGCTTCCTAATCCTAGTTTTTCTTTTACTTTTCCTTGAAGAATTAATTACAGCCACCCTACCTTTCGCTGTTTCTCATGATGTGAGCGAGGTATTCAATTTTGCTTGTTTGTATTGTGGTTAACAACACTTTTCCTTTTTGCATCCTTAATAAAATGTTATGGTTAGTAATGTGGTTAGTATTTGAGATCTTTAGGATTCTACGATAAAGCCACATTTCAAAAGCTTTAATTTTCTTAAAGGTAGGAAATGGTTCCAATTTTCGCTGAAGTTGGTACTATGGTAGGCGTATGTTTTTACTCTTTCTATTGGTTAAACATGCACACTGATTCTTTCAATTTGTTGTTGCTTATTAGATATCATCATAGATTTTGTTTTCTTAATGTTCAGTAAATGTTCCTATCTCTTACTTACTTCTGTGGTTCTATTCATTAACTCCTTGAGGTCTTCATAACTGTCAGCGAGTACCACCGTGTCATCAACGTATCTGATGTTATTGATATTGTCTAAGTTAACTCGAATTCCGGCTTCAACATCTTCTACTGCTTCTTGAAAGATTTTCTCAGAGTATAATATGGTAAACAGTAAGGGTGATAGTATACATCCCTGTTGAATTTCGCATTTGATTTTGATATCATCGGATTCTCCTTCCTTAGTACTGATAGATAATGTTTGATTCCAGTAAAAGTTGCTAATAATTATCCTTGGATCACAGGTGTTTATTCCAATAATTCGTAATATCTATCTCAGCTTGTCATGTTTTACTGTATCAAGTGCTTTATGGTAATCCTCTCTTGTACCCACTGCATTCCGAACAACAAATTGTGTACGGCTGATTTTTTCTTTACATAGTCTATATATCTTTTGATGTATGATTTTTAGAAATATCTTTAAAATGTGGCTCATAAAGCTGATGGTCCAGAAATCATTGCAGAATACGGATTTTGTTTTATTTGGTAGGGCAATAAACGTTGACTTCAGCCGTGATCTTGGTATTATCCGTTTAAATATATGTCATTGGATATTTTTGTTAGTCACTGAGTATTGTCCGAGTTAAATAATTTTATGAGTTTAGCGTATCCATTGTCAGGTCCAGGAGATTTGCCATCTTTTAATCATGATATTGCTTTTTCCTCGTGCTGGTCTCAGCTTGTGTATGAGAGAGACGTTAAACTGAGTAGGGGTCCTTCAGTACTTGACACAGGTCAGCAGCTGTATCATTAGTGGCCCGTAGCTGAGGAATATAATTACTGACAGGTGCGGTACCACAAAATCGCAGGCAAAAATCAAATACTAATTTAACCGACTGTGATACTGCGAACACTCACTAACCCGTCCGGCAAGCGTGGTGTTTTAATACCAATATACCCCTCAAAACACAACATGTTAAACTTAAAACAAAATGGGACGATACCCCAGGTGGGTAAAACTATCAGCTCAGAATCCCACACCGAAAACCGGTCAACGTTACGGATTCTGGGGGAGGCACAAGCTGAACAAAACGCGAAAAAATAGATACGACCAAACATAAACAGTTACTCCTAGCCACATACAACATTCAATCTATGGCTAAAGATGAAAAGCTCTACGAATTAGAAAAAGAACAATCCAAGAGAAAGTGGGATATTGTAGAACTGTCAGAAGTAAAAAAAAGAGGCAAACAATGTGCAGGGATGCCGGTTTTCAACATCCCTTACATGGAGAGTCTTATATGCCAACAGTGTCTCTTTCAGCGGTTTTGTACTTGCTGTAAGTCCAATTAGTCCGCTAGCCTTCGATAGCTCAGTAAAGAAACTTAAATGGATTTTTAAAGGTGCTTTGATCTGGCCTGTTAAATTGATATAGAGTGAAATAAAAGAATTGCTTGTTTAGAGAAAAACTGTAATTGAAAAAAGGGCAAAAAATAGAACTTACAAACTTTGAGTGTATAACTTATCGTAGGAACCTAATGTGGAAATTACAATTTACGAACTTTCCTGAAAACACCATAACACTATTCACATTTTACGGCTTACCAACTTTTGCGTAACTTGCAACGTGGAGAAAACTTTTCCAAACTTGAAAGATAGGTGTGAGCCCTACCAAAGTCGCTAATTCACTGTCTGTCTCGTCCCCTAGCTCCGCTGAAAAATATTTTGTTTCTGCATTTTGAATAGCCGGTCTAGGGTCAAGTAGGCGCCATGGGCGGAGACTAACATTCCCAGAAACAAGTCCATGGAAACTGGATTTTTGTTTATGTAACTGGCGCGAAAATATTTATTTGTTACGAAATAGAATTATTCGTTTGGATATATAATTATTTAATTGAAGATTATAGTTCTCCAACACAATGTACGTATCTACAGTCTGGAAAATGCTTATACTATGCAGGGAAAATAGACGAAATATATGGTGAAGTAAGATTTCTTGTTAAAAGTATCTCACACCATACATTTCTACATATAAAAGCGTTTCTGATAGAATAACTTATATTATAATAGACCGAGATAATAAAAGGAAGTTCAAGGTTCTACAAGTATATGCCCCACAAGAAAATGATATAAAGTATACCATTATTATTGGAGATTTTAACGCAAATTAGGTAAAAAAGAAGGAAATAGTAAAACTAAAATACTGATGCATGGTTATGGCACACGAAATGAAAGAGGAGAAAAATTGTATACCTTGTTAGATCAACAAAATTTATATGCCATAAACACATACTTCAAGAAACCAGCAAACCGAAAATGGACGTGGATATCTCCCGTTAAAAGACGAAAAACGAGATCGATTATTTCTTGTATGGGAACAAAGACATATATTTAAAGATATAACTGCTCTCAATCGATTCATAACTAGCAGCAATCATCGCCTTTTAAGAGCAAAAATTCATAATAAACAGACAAAAATCAGTAGCAACAGGCTACATAATTATTGTAATCAGATAGATCAAACTAAAATACGACAGAAGGGAGATGACTATAAAGAAGACTTAAGAAAAGAATTTGTAGAATGTTATCAAAACTGCGACTTCAATACAATTATTAAAGAAATGCAACGAAGCTCTTGACAGTAGGACTGACTGTTCCAAAGAAAACTAAAAATATAGACGACAGAATATGTGATGGAACGAAACGGTTGATGGAAAAGAGACGCAAATTTCTAAGCGAAGGTAAGCAAAACACCAATGGTTTTAAAGAAATAAATAAACAAATAAAGAAGGAAGTAAAGAAAGATTTAAGGATCTGTAATGAAAACAAGGGAAAAAAATATTAGAGAAGAACGAGGCCTGAAATGCTTAAGTTAAAACTTAGGAAAGCCTATTATAATCTCATTTGAGAATAAAGATAAAAAGAAATAAGAGAAAATAACGAAATCCTAAAAGTTACTCAAACATTTTACTGTGATTTATATTCCTCAAACAAGGACCCAAAGAACACTGCAAGGGAAGATTTTTTCGAGAAAGATACGAATGTCAACTCAAAAGTAATCCCTAACATAAAATCCTTTGAAAAACAAACAAGCTATAGCACAACTAAAGAACAATAAGGCTCCGGACCCAGATGGAATACTTGTAGAAATGTTAAAGGAGGGGAGTGAAATTATTCTCGAAAAATTGAAAAAATTTTATAACATATCTTGACAAAGGAGAAGTCCCAGATGATTGGAATGAAAGTTTGAAAATACTTCTTTTTAAAAACGGAGACAGGGGAGATCTGAAGAACTATAGGCAAATCTTCCTGCTGTCCCAAATCTATAAACGATTTATGAGAGTTATAACTAACAGGTCAACGTCAAAGCTCGATTGCTATCAATCCGTAGAGCAGGCAGGATACCCAAAGGGTTACAAGACAATGGATCATCTTCTTACAGTCAGAATGCTAAAAGAGAAAGCCAATAAATATCACTTAAACTTATACATTGACTTCGTTAATTATAAAAAGGCATTCGACTACTTAGAACTTTGGACAGTAAAGAGACCTATGAACAACTGCAGGATAGACTTCCGATACAAAATGCTTATACATAATATTTACAAGAAAGTTACAATGAAAATACAAATATGTGCCAAAACCAAAGCTACACCAATCAACACAGGAGTTCGCCAGGGAGATGTTATCGTACCAAAGCTATTGACACTTGGACTGGAAGACGTGTTCAAAGACATTACCTGTCAATTATTTGACAAAGTAAAGACAATTAAATAGGTAAAGAAATAAGACTTACTCACAATCAATTTAATTTAACTATCAGACGACCGGTTTCGCTTTCTACAATATGCAAAGCATCTTCAGGTCTCGATACAAAGTTAAATAAATGCTGAAATGATAAAAACCTATGTTAGGGTGTTGTCTAATAAAGATAAACAAAGTAGATGTTGGAAATTACAATAATTATGCCAATATTACATGTCTGTGGTTTTATTTCAAAAAGAGTAAGTTGAATAAAAAGGTATAAAAAGTTTTAAAAAGTTTAAACAGACAAGGTAAGGCCCACAAATTGTTATAAAAGAGTCTATTAGATTGTAATAAATTATTAAATGAGCAAATAAATAAACATTACCTACATGCCGGTACTCTATTAATTGATGGATGGTAGAACATGGATGAAACTCATGATATAAGGATACCAGATATGATATTGCCACGCACTAAACTCGTACACTCCCGCGCATGACGTCATCTTGTGCTAAATTTTCAAAATGTATTCATGCTTGCAGATGAAACGAACTGTTGAAATTCTAATATAATTTATTAGATATTTTATTTACTACGTGAATTTAAGCTTAAGTATTTAAA